TTTGTTGGTAACTGCAGTCCGAACCCCTGAGGCAGGGATGGATGGTATCTGAAATGGGTTCAGCTGGCTCTGTAGTCACCGCCTGAACTGGACTCCATCAAGGCTTACTACTTCATGCCCCCCTTTCCTTCTGCGGTACAAATTCCGGTCTCTCCACCTTTGCCCCTCATGCTGCTTTCTGAATCTGAGTCTTTCTGGCAGTCTGGACCACAAACCATCTTCCTTTTTTGCCCTTCCTGTTGATGAACTATTGGGTAACAAATGCCTGAAGAGAGGTAACACATTGATCCCAGGAAAAAAGCCGCTAACAGACCAAAGAAATGGTTACATCAGTGTCTAATTTGGTGAACCAATAAGTTTTTTTAATTGGAGATACTCTTTATTGGGCTATCTGTAACTTCAATTCCAGGGGCCTCTGCTGCCTCTGGCCTCCACAGGTCCCTTCACTCATGTGTGCGCACATGGGCACGTGTGGGGTTTGGGCGGTGGGTTACTAACAAGATCTGGGCAGCTCCAAAGCAACTCCGCTGCCAGGAAGCCCACGCCAACATGGGTGAAACTCCCAAAGCTGCAGCCCGAGGGTTCTCCCCACAGTTCCCAGGCAGCTCCTCACTCTGACCCTCCCTTCCTCCCTCAGTTTGTCTGGTGTGTGTCCACCTCAACAGCTGTGTTCCTTTTTGTTGCTGGACAGGGACCCGCAAGAATTTTCACAGTTTGGCTTCCAACCCTGACTTAAGATGTTTTGTTACCTGCCGAGGCTCAGGAATCCCCTGCTCTCCAGGAGAAAGTGTTTCAGTTTAGAAGGAATGTTGCCATTAGGAAGAACCCAGACATGCTCACCCAAATCGCTTTGATGAAACCCAAACCCTGGTTGGGATGACCTTGACCCTCACGCCCCCGTTAGCGTTACAAGGGATGACCTCCACAGTTTACAGCCTCAGTTAGTTTTCTCCAGCTGTGGGTTGATGGATGCCTCAGCACTGTTCTTACTTGCAAGCCTTTCAGCTTCAGATGGTGCCATGTATGGTCTCCATTTCTGTGTTCACTCTTGATGCAGTTTAACTTGCTGCGAGAGTTGTGACATGTTAAGGTTTTTCTCAATTTCCACTACATTTCTAGGCTCTAGGTTCCTTTCGCAGCTACTTGTAAACAAAACAAAGCAACAACAACAAATTGCATCCAAAACCCCCTTGGTTCACAGGCCAAGTCTATTTGCTGTCTATAGATGGCTGGGGGATATTTAACCCCTTAGACCTCTTCTGCACGTCTGCTGTCCATTCAGTGGTCCACTCAGCAGACTTGTAGTGAATGCCCCCTGCCTGTCAGGCACTGGGCTAGCAGTGCAGCAGTTAAGAAGTCATGAGACTTGGTTAGAATCAGAGGACCGGAGCTTGATTCTCAGCTGCCGCCCACAGGGAGTGCTTGCAATTGCCTGTAACTGCAGCTCTAGGGCACGCTGATGCCTCTGGCCTCCGCAGACACCTGTGCTCATGGGTGTTCACATACACACGCACGCACATTAACAGTTCAAATAAATATACTGAGGAAGGGCACGAAGTTTGTCCAGTTTGCTCTTGTTCGCCATCCGCTCCCATCACCCAAGGCGTCAAGCTTCTAAACCTAGATATTCACAGCTGCTTCCTACTGGCTTGAACCATGCACCAGACATTAGTAAACAAACAGTAAAAAGATCTGGCACTGATAGGGGAGTTCAATAGCGTAATGCTGAAATGGAAAGGATGGGGAACAATATGAACATGAACTGGAAGCCCTGAGCCAGTGCTCTCTCAGGACCACTAAAAAGTAAAGAAACCCCGTCTGAGGCTGCCAACCTCGGAGCTAAGTTATTTAGAGTGGAAAAAGTTGGCCAACTCAGATGTACTCAAACCAAGGAGCTGACATTTCGTGAGTTTTATGGCCTATGTAGTTTATGAACCATTAAAATATTGTATACAATATTAATGAAGGAGAAGGGCAGGGAAGGGTTATGAAATCTGAGCTGAAAGGAAAGCTGGGGCTATGAGGAAGGACCAGTGAAAGTTCACACAGCTTTGCTATTTGGACATGGTGCGACTATGAAGCAGGAAGCAGGAGCTCCCTTAACCATGAAGTCCTGGGAGCTCTTTCCACATCTTAGCTGGCCTTGAAAGTCTCATAGGGACTCTCCAATCTATAATGTCTGTCAACATCTCTTCCATAACCATCTCTGAACATCGTTTTTTTTTTTTTTGTTTGCTTGTTTGTTTTTTCATTTAAATATATTGTTACAAAGCCAGGTGCTAGGAACCAGTTTCTTCCTTTGGATGTGTTGGCCATCAGGAATTGTAGACACTCACACAGTACCAGCCACTGCTCTAATGTCTAGAACTTGACATTAAAACTCTATTGCTGACCGCACCATATACTTCAGTCATAGGATGTGGAGAAGCAGGCTGGTACTGACCTAAGTGCTGGAAGTTGCTAGGCTAGCTACTGGATTAGAAAAATAATCCCCGGTATTACCCAGCTGTGAACCTTGAGAGCAACGATCATTACAAACCTGGTAAGATATGTCCATGGTGCAGTTGTGGTATAAACGTCCTTGGAGTAACAAAACACTTTCTCATTGAATTTAAGGCCTACTGTACAATAGGAAAACCACACCAGACACCATTCCTAAGACCAAGAACCCATGCTCTATGGGCTATATGGCATAGGGGATACTTTGCTAAAGGGACAAAGTATTAAATTCAGTCTTCAAGACTTATTGTTAAATTTGTAGATTAATAAATACTTCAACCCTCATCAGAGAAGCTTCTGTCTGTGGTATTTGACAATTGATACAGAACTGGTCAGTGTGCAGAGAATAAGAGACTGTGGAGTACCTACCCCTACGTGAGACTTTGGTATTATAGCCCCTCTCCAAAGGCTCATGGGTCATTTTGGAAGAGGGGCTGGAAAGATTGTCAGAGCCAAAGGCAATGAGTGGCACATATGAATTCATAACAGTTGTGACAGTATGCGTAAAATCAATCTAGACAAAAATTCCAGCATGGGAGGGTAGGAGAGCATGAAGTGCTACCTGTAGCTAAGGAGCTACAGGAAATTTATAACTGCTGAGGGAGGGAGAGTCAGTTAACCTTAAGGGAATGTCCCCTGGTTGGTTGCATGGTGGTTTAAATGAAAATGGCTCCCACAGGCTCATACGTTTGAATGCTTAGCCCCCAGCTAGCAGAACTGTTTGGGAAGGATTAGGAGGTCTGGCCTTGTTGGAAGGTTATGGCCTTGCTGGTATTCTCTCTCTCTGTGTGTCTATCTCTCCGCTTCTGTGTCTGCCTCTGCCTCCCTCCCTTTCTCCTCCCCCTGTTCCTGTTTGTGGATCAGATATGAGCTCTCAGCTACTGCTCCGGCACCAAGCCTGCCTGCCTGCTGCCTGCTGCTATGCTCCCTACCATGACGACCATGGACACTAATGCTCTGGAATCATGAGTCCCAGTAAATGTTTTCTTTTGTAAGGTTATAGTATCCCTTCACAGTAACAGACAAGTAATTAAGACAATTGCCCATACTCAAGAGGATGACACACATCCAACAGTACATGAGTAGTACAAGGAGGCTCAGTGGTTAAGGACACTGGCTGTTCTTCCAGAGAACCAGGCTCTGCACCAGGAAGCTCCACCTCCAGAGAACCCAATGCTTTCTGTCCTCCGTGTGTACCTTCACATACATGAACCACACACTCAAGCAATCAATAAAAAATAACCTCTATATTTTTGAGTGAAAACTTCATACCAGGCACTGTGTTGGGTTTGGGCTATGCACATCCAATTCTCTTACAACATATACATACATATGTATGTATATTGTCTGAACATGTCTTTAATGTCTTGGTCAACTCATTGTCAGCCCTTTCTTTTCAGGATCAGATGAGAAATATAAACCTACCATCCTTGATTTCATGTATTCATTCTCTGCAGGAGACTATTCCCTTGCTAGTCTCTTTTCTTCCAAAGACCTGTTTGGGAGTCTTCTTAGATTTTTAAAGCTACTTTCTTGTTTCTTCTATCCCAGTCTTCATATAAGTTCACACAATGGCCTTTCTATGTCCTCACTTCCTCACTCTTTCCACTCTTTGACTATGGGGTTTTGGAAGGCGTGGGTATCCCTCCCCCTCCTGAAAATGCTTTGCTCAAGCCCAAATTCATACTGGCAGTTCTTTTATTGGATTTCTCTACCCCATTTGACATTTTGAAAACAAACTTCTTCTGTAAAGTGTTCTTAAAGCTTTTTCCTTCCCAATTTTCTTGGTTCCCCTCGAGCTCAGCTGTCTTACTTTGCATTTTCAGCTTCGTTCTTAGGCCTTTCTCCTTCTACAAAGGCTGTAAAGATTGGGGATCCATCTGTGCTCCCCAGCTCTTCACATGCCACATGTTTGAATATTGAAACACCACATCTTCAAATTGTAGTGTCAAGTTGTAAAAATGGTCCTCCAGGGTTACCTGATAACAATATCACAAGAATTCGAATTGTTACTGTTTTCTATGCGCAGTTGCCATGGGTCATCATTTCATCTGTGTTCCAAATGGTCCAGCTGCTTCAGGCTTTGTCTCCATTTCCTAAAGACCTTTCTTATGGTCTAGAATGGGAATGAGACTGGTCTTTCTTGGCTCTGAATTAATTGTGCATCTTTGAGAAAATGAAGTTTGTTAGAAAGCTGTTAACTCCATTTTGTTGTCTTAAGGGCAACCTGTGCTGGGGCATGCAATCCATTTCTTAAACAGGTTTGTATAAAACCATTTCTCTCCAAGATTAATATAGCATGCAAGCACCCTTTGCCACAGGAGTCAGCAAGAGACACTGGGAGATCAGCATATATTATGAATCATTATTTCAAAATGTCAGAATAAAGTGGGTCAGCTACACCCCCCCCCCCGGGCTCCTCCCTTTTAGGGGAGAATACAAAGCTTGCTTCTCAGATGTTAATGGATTCACTGTTTTTTTTTTCTCCTATCCCCCCCCAGGTCCAATTCGGATAATCGTCGCCAGAGCGGCCGAGAGAGACTGTCCAGTAACAGTGAGAAGGGAAGCATGACCGTGGAGTCGGCCAAGGAGACCCGCTACTGTGCAGTGTGCAATGACTATGCCTCTGGCTACCATTATGGGGTCTGGTCCTGTGAAGGCTGCAAGGCTTTCTTCAAGAGGAGTATTCAAGGTAACAGTGTGCTGTCTAATATCCGCTCTGCTTATGACCCTAAGAGACGAGAGCAAGAAAGGAGGACAAAGTCTTCGCACAAAGCTCGTTGCATAAAACATGAATATCGAGTCAGTCTCTCTGTTCTTGGTAGAAACCTGGAGGAGAGATTCCCGGAAGGGGTGGCCGTGCCAGAGAAGCTGGGTCTTCTGCCTCCTGGCAAGACGCAGACAGCTCTGAGCAACTTCACCAGAAGAGCTGGTGTAGCTGTGTCTCTGGTGTTCAGAGAAACGTCTCTGGCTAGCTTCAGGGACAGCAGGCATACATTCTTATTCTAAGTCACATGATGTGGTGTGTTATTGTCCGCACAGAATCATCTCTCTGCCTTGGTCTTGTCCAGGTAAATACTCTGTTCTGATCTTTGCTCCAGTCCGATTCTGTTTCAAATTGTTCTTCTTCTTCTTCTTCTTCTTCTTCTTCTTCTTCTTCTTCTTCTT